GCGATCCTTCCGCCTTAGCCTTCCAAGTAGCTGGAACTACAGGCGCACGCTACCACGCCCGGCCAATTTTTAAAAATTTATTGTAGAGATGATGTCTCGCCATATCGCCCAAGCGAGCCTCGAACCTGCGAGCTCAGGCAGTCCACTCAACTCAGCCTCCCAAAGCGCTGGGATTACGGCTGAGCCACCGAGCCTGGCTGGATGACTCTTAATATGTGTGAGTTGTTTGAAGAGAATTATAAATGCTGAGAGTTTGGTGAATATAGGTATAAAATTAATAGACCCAGGCAACCCTTTCAGGTCCCCTCCCACTGTGGGAGCTTTTCTGTCCTCTCAGTAAATCCTGCTTTAAAAATTAAATTAAATTAAAAATAAAAATAATAAAATAAAATAAATAGACCCCTTATTTTATTTTATCATTATTATTTTTTTTATTTTTTTTGAGTTGGAGTCTCACTCTGTCACCCAGACTGGAGTGCAGCGACCTGCTGGGCTCCGGCGATCCTTCTGGCCTCAGCCTTCCAAGTAACTGGAACTACAGACGCGCGCTACCACGCCTGGCTAATTTTTTTGATTTATAGTAGAGATGAGGTCTTGCCAAGTTGTCCAGGCGGGTCTCGAACCCTCAGGCTCAGGCAATCCACTCACCTCAGCCTCCCAAAGGCATGGGATTACAGGCTGAGCCACCGAGCCCGGCTTAACCCCTTATTTTAATATCGTGTCTTATGGGAATTTATTTTGTGTATGTGTGTATATTTTTCCAAAACTTCTAATATTCTCTCATTTGGGATGAGTTCAGAGTTTTGGGCACCTTAAGCAAGCTTAAGATTGCTTGTGCCAAGGTGACACTAGCCTGCTTTGCCACTCTGCTCTCACGCTCTCATCTTCTGAACCCATGTGTCTGACTTGATCTTGGCCTGTCTTTTTTGTAGGGTTGCTCGGGGCTGTTCTTCTGTCCTGTTTCCAGCAGTGTTTTTTCTTTACACATGTAACAGCATAATTTGGGTGTTTTTTTTTTTGGTTTTTTTTTTAGTAAGAGTCTCACTCTGTCACCCAGGCTGGAGTGCAGTGGCACGCTCACAGCCACTGCAACCTTTACCTGCTGGGTCAGGTGATCCTTCTGCCTCAGCCTTCCAAGTGACTGGAACCACAGGCATGCGCCACTACGCCTTGCTAATTTTTTGATTTATTGTAGAGATGAGATCTCACCAAGTTGCCCAGGCTGGTCTCAAACCCATGGGCTCAGGCAGTCTTCTCACCTTAGCCTCTCAAGTGCTGGAATTATAGGTGTCAACCACCGTGCCCTAATTTGGGTTTTAATAAGCTCCTTTGCCTTTGCTTGTAGTGGGGTCTCCTGCAGAGGCAGGCAGCATGATTGAGGATGTTTTGTAATGTGGTTCACTCAGGCCTTCAGGGCGATACTGTGTCTCTTTAAATTCAGGAAGCAGAACTGCAGATTTTGATCTAAAGCAACCTATAAGTATGAGGCAATGTAAGAAAAACAGGTTTTTGGTTCAGGTTGGGTAAATTTTGCCTTGATATAGCTTTGTGTTAAAATGTATACTGTGGAGTAGAGAAGAATAGTGTCTCTTGCTAGGTTCAGGTAGGTGGGCTGTGTAATGAGCTAGAATTTGGATTTCTTTGTTTTTCAGGTGCTGTGAAAATTAACTTAATGTAACCGGGCTCGGTGGCTCAGCCTGTAATCCCGCGCCTTTGGGAGGCTGAGGTGAGTGGATTGCCTGA